TCCAAACTGATAACACGACGACGCCACCCAGCCCTCATCAACTTGTGCATGATATGGATACTATCTGGGATTTTTTCTCTTTTGCTGTGCGTAAACCGATGATATCGAAGAGATGGCTACCTATCTAACACCTGATTTTCTTTAGATTCTTCACTGGTAAAGCGAAACCGACCGACCCCGAACCTGGTGAAGGATTATGTATCGCGCAAGCTGCACTTCTCGAGGGTATCTTGCCCATGTGAGTTGCAACGAGTACACGATTGTTTGGAGTCATGCACTGAAGAAGATTGGTATGACACAGGTGGTCTGTCGCGGTCTTCATTTTGATGTACTTTATCCTGGGCATAGTTAGTGGAGACAATCATGTCCTGGAAGTTGGGAAGGGTAAAATGTTGTTGGTCAGTTTTGCTACGACTATATACCCCCTGCTTCTTTCTCAAAAGGATCTCACACAGATGCTCGGGGCACCTTACATCGCTCAATTTTGCTTCTCGTTGGCCGCCCTCGTGGTGTGTATCATTATCTTCTGATGCTTTCGAGTTGTGACATCCATACTTCCTCATAGCTATCTATCCAAAATCCTGACCAGGTCTCTAGGGAGCGTAGATTCTTCTATTGCTCCCTTCACTATCCTCATCTTTCCGATGCCATGTCTATATTCACGTTCATTTTTTGCTTGGGAATCATTATGCTCGAAAGTGTGTTTTCCTACTGATCCTACAAATGAACCGCCTCTTCATATATTCGTTTAGTTCAACTAGTGTTGTTGTTGGTTCGCAATTATCGGGGGCTGCGGGCGGGTGGACAATCGACCGCCTTTGATATGCAACTGCTTGTACGGGCCGTCGTGTTCGGTGTATTCGTTTTTCTGGGGATATGGTAAGTGCATTGCTATGTCGGAAGTGCAGTTTGTTTAATTGTCTTCCTCCAGCGCCGACGTTGTTAATATGTTCAGCGAAAGCAGTTTTCCCGACATGTACACAGCGGCAGGTGAGCGTCGGAACAATAACGTTTCCGAGCAAACTTGCTTATGCTTCATGAAGCGGGTATAATAGTATTCTTAGTATTTGGGTCGCAAGCTGTACGTATACTTTCATCGTCTTCGGATCAACAGTAAAAACCAATCTTTCCTTTTAGGACGTTCTTCGAGCTTGGTGCTTTTGGAAGAAGGAAGGCCCGATACATGTTTCCCAGTCTCATGAACAAGGTTGGGCCAATCTTGACCTCACCGGCAATACAATGACCACCCTACAACGCGATTCCTTTGGTCCTCTCCGTTCTCCAGGGCCTGTACAGATAGCAGACCACGTACATGGTCTACACGGACGCAATAACAGTGCATCCATACCTCCCATATGACGCTCTTCTTCGATCTTTCAACTTCTCGGGTTCATATTCTGTCATTACCATCGCGGACACTCCTTATCTAACTATTTGTAACATTCATTTGTAGCTCCACCGCCTCCCCTAAAGTATCTTGTTGTATTTTCTGTCTATTTGGGTACGGTTAGATAGACTGAGGTATGAATAGATATACTCTCTTAATCGAAAGTCAGTGGAGGAGGTACGCGTGTTTTCCTCATGCTCCTGGTGCAACGTATCTCATCGCCTCCAGAGATGAAATGCGTTCATTTCCACTGGCGATGGATTCCAAGACTGTCTGGACTGTGTATGTGACGACAGCGGTGATAGACCACCAGGATATCGTTAGCCACGATCTCCTGAGGAAGATACACACTGTGGGAGCAACGAGAGCCAATGAATACGAAAGTGTTGGACCGAGCGTATAGAGCCCTAAATCAGTATTGCTATTCAACTCTATTCTGAATCGCAGTAGAATATTGCGAATTGAATTTGAATCGAGGAGAAGGAGTAGATTTGCATGGAGAATGAGGGAAAGGAGAGTAAAAGGGCGGGGAAGAGGAATAATTTCAGAGTTTATGGAATCTTGCGAGCGGATGGGGCTGACAAAGTAGACGAGGAATCTGGAAGAATTCGTCAGGAAACCAGATAAAGGGTAGAATAGAGGCTAAGCTTTTACGGACAGGATAGTGGATAGAGTTACAAGGCACTGTGTCAGTCGAATTAATTGCTTGTTGGAATTTATATTGTCTTTGCGTAGAGTGTCTAGAACTTCTTGTTGTTCTGCAAAGAGAATCAGTAGCAGAACTATACAGAGAGCTTTATCTTTACCCTGGTCATCTAATATAGTGGCATCGTCTTGAGGATCCTCATTAAACTTGAAAGGTATTCGACGGTGCATGAATTACGGGCGCTTAACTTTCCAAATTCGGCGAGACAAGGGCGGAATCCTCGTGGATGGGCGTCTAGTCCTCATCCGCTCTCCACAGGGCTCCATCTTCTCTACTCTTTGGAGGCCTTGCCTTATCGACCTCCAGTCTATCAGAGACTTTTACCATCGACTGGAAATGTCTCTCGAAGTGCCAGGGTCCATATCTGAAAAGATAGATTTACCTAGAAATCGGCGCCGTGGACTCAAGTCTTTGTCTACCTTGTTCCAAATACCGCAGTTGCTCGTTGGACGAGCTGATCCCGGTCCCAGTAGTATCCCAATAGGCGGTGGGCTCCCAGTCGACCTTCTATTCGAGGTCTTGGAGTATCTATATTCCTCTGATATTCTAAGTCTGAGCTTGACTGTAAGGGCTCGTCCTTTCGTTCTGCCAGCTAATCAATACTGATTCTTCATCACCACATAGTCATCGCATGTCAGACAACTATTACTCCCATTCTTATATGACACGGTAGTCTTGAAATCCAGCCATGCTTGTAAAAGCGCACTCACGATGCTCGTTGAGCATCCAGAGATTTCCAGCAAAATCCGAAAACTAGCTGTCAGGCCAAATTACTATCTGGTACAAAATGTCCAGTTTACGGAGCTTACTGCTTACTGAACAGTATTAGGCTTGGCCCAAAGCGAATGAACGACTCGAAGAAGCTTGGGTAGTGGATATGCTACTTAAAGCCGCGGACAACCTGCCCCTGCTTCATACCTTCGATTGGGACGGCCTTGAGATGCCCCAAGATCGTTTATGGGTGACATTAAGGGACAAGTGAGTCGTGCGCTTACTACACCGCGGATGAATTCTGATAAGAGTATGAGGTGTCCACTGCTCAAAACGGTGTACACTAATATCGGTTATCAGCCTTTAGATCCTAGTAGCAGCGTGCGTCGTCCATTCTAGCCTTATTATCTCCCCCTTCTCATACCGCATTCGTACAGTTATACGATTTTACAGATCTCACCTCCTTCTCTCTAACTGTTCGGCATAGCCTTGATGAAACGGATTTGTTTCCTACGAGCGAAGCACTCCCTGACCGGCTTTGGAATATGCTTCTTACCAAATGCCCGGACATGCAGGATCTTACCCTCAGCTCCTTCTCTTCATCTACTCGTCTCCTTAATGTCGATAGACTTTGCACCTCTGATGCTTACTGGCCGAAGCTCAATTCGCTCACGCTTGGATCTTTCGGCTACACCGACGACTTTGAACTCAACTCCCCCTCCGACGATGCTGCATTTGGTGCCTTTCTGTCTAAACATAACGAGCTCAAGTACCTCCGACTGTCCTGGAACTTTAAACGATGGATGTCACCCGAAACTATTCCTCTTATTATTGAACCCACCGCCCTTCCCCATCTAACAACATTTGTCGGCGTACATCAGCAGCTTGCCCTCCTTCCGACACCAGCTCTTTCATCAATCGAGATATTAGATCTCACCTGTGAACCATTATTTGCTGTACGGCTAGGAGGCGATGGAGGCGTATGTGCCACGCTCAGGATGTTAACGGCGCTGACGAGCTTGGATTTGTGGCTACACATCCCCGAATTCAAGGATCATCGCGCATTTTTCAAAAACTTGATGGAAGCATGTCCGAGGTTGACGGAGCTGCATTTCATGTGTACGACTAGTTTCGGAGCGGTGCGTTTTTCTGACATTCGCTCCTAAATCACTTAATCTTTTCCTGATCTCTAGAAACCTCTTCTTTGCCTGGCCGAACATCTACCTCTCCTCCCTCTTCTACGCACTTTCTCACTCACGAAGGGACACAAGTACATCGGAGATGACTCAAGCATGCTACGTACTGCTTTGAGAATAATCCGGGCTCCTAATCGGAATTTCGATAAAAATAGTAGCGCCAATCCTGACCTAAGACAAGTCAACATTCGTTGGGCTAGAGAACGATGTCCGAATCATTTAAAGCAGGAAGGAACATACGATATCATCCGACGATGGGATGGTGGCCAGTCAAGCGTGGTCGCTGGAGTGGAGGTATACGAAAAGGGAATAACTGCTCTGGGAAACGTTTTTACGAGGAGGTATCGGTATGACAAATTCCCTTCTCCTTCGCGAATCTCGTTACCCCCAGCGATTGCGACCTCTTCTTCCGCTTCTGCCTCTTCCGCGCATGTGGTCACCCCCAGTGCTGCTTCGATTGATACTAGCAATGGACGGCGGCGTGATGGTCGTACTGGTCGCGGGCGAATCAAAAGAGCTCTCATGATAATTAAAGGCAAGAAGGATCGTTCGGATCGTTCGTAGGTAACATACGGAATACGGACAGCATGAATCGTGTTCTTTCATTCAAACTATTTGACCACTATTGGCTTTATCTATCTATCCTCGATTTTGTTCCTTAGACTTGTCTTGCTTCCATCTGTCATTCATTTTCCGGGTTTTATAGGTTCCAATATCTATGTATCCTCTCTACTCAATGTTGCCATTATATCACTCACATCTTTGTATCACTTATCCACACTCACTTGTTGTCTCTCACTTGTTTGCGCTGTGACTTGTAACATACATGTTGATCATGCTTCGCTCCTTAACTCGTTGTACGATGTACTATAGATTCCTGAACGGTATTAAAACGGATATTGGTCTCTCTTCTGCTTGATTATCCTGTACGTAAAATACTTCGAATAATAAGCTTCATCTTTCAAGGATGGCAAAAACAAACCGTTTTTAACATGCGCGATGCCCACTAGCCGATTCGAACGACTGACCTCGTCATAATCTCATACGAGTGACGCGCTCTACCAACTGAGCTAAGGAGGCTTATAATCTCGGGAACCATATATTATTCTTCAGTGAAATTCAACGCAAAGCTTCTTAGAGACTTTTCCATATCCAAATGCTTCAGCATCAAAGAAAGGACATACTCGAGATGCTATCACTGTGTCGGCATGCACGATGTGGCCCTTAGTTCTGGTAATGAAGGACCTAGTAGTCTCCAATCTTTGAAAGTTGGGTTAGTATTGGGTTAGTATATACTCCCAAAAAGAAAGCTGTAGAGAACACTATTTTCAGTGGAGTGAGATGGCCGTCCGGCATCGAACCACAGTGATCGGTTCCTCAGCTGTGAGATAGGCCAAGGTTGGAGGATATGAGCCAAATATGCGATGGTGAACAATCTAACTTCAGTCAAGTGTGGTCGTTTACAGTGTTATCACTGTGTAACCAGTCAAGATAGTATTTCCATCCCTTCTCAGCCTTATCCACATCAAAACTACCCACGTGCATGACCTGGATGTCATCCAGGTATCGCCTCCAGCGTGTTATTACTTCGACCGGAGGATCAGGAAATGTCTGCGTCGAAAGAAATGATTTCAATAAATTATAATCATTGTGTATATTTCTATCTCTCACCTCTAGCCACTTCAAAATAATATAGATATGATCTGGACACTCTGGGATTTGGGACAGTGGATCGAGGTTCCAAATGTCACGAAGAAGCTCATCGCAAGGTAGAGACAGTCGGACAAGGAAAGCCCAGATACCATTGCTATAAACCCAGCTAATATTATAGTTACTTAGAATGATTGCCACAAGGAAATCATGCTAGCCACACACCCAGCCAAATCGTTTAGCTTATAGTGAGCATGGACGGTATCCTTTCCTATGCAGATAACTCGATGTACCAAACCCTGGCATACCGATGGCCAGGGGAAAATCTCCCCAGCGAACGATGTATTTCGCAAATGATAAAGAAGATTACCGAACATTTCTTTATCTTTACCAATAATCGAGCGAAGGTAAGAAATGACGGACCTGAGTTCTATCCAGGAACCATGGAACAGCAAACGGATGAAAGTCATCAAGGGAACGAAATCATAACTTAGCAACAAGGCTATACAAAGAAGCTGAAGAAGGCCAGGAGACTGTGATAAGATACAGTGAGCAGATGTCTGTGTCATCCTAGTTGAATAACACAACGGAGCATGTCCAATGAAAAAGAAATATTCATAGTCTTCCCAAAGCTGTACTACATCTTCAGGTGCTGGATGGACTTTCTAGATGCATATTGGAATCATCCTGCCAGTCACAGTGAAATGAGGATAAAAGCTCACTCTCATCCAATTTAAATTTTCCTTCAGCATGTTTTCACTGAGCTGAGAGATATAGGTTAGATGAACGCCTTGAATCAAAGGCAACAGTTCCGCAGAAGGGGGTAACAGTGTAGCGATAAGGTTTGGCCACCCAAGTATGGGAGACCTTGAAGGATAAATGACACATCAGTTTCAAACTTAGTGGAAAGCATACCTTGAGTTATAGTAATCATAGTCCTCTTGAAACTCATGAGCATACAATCTCAGGATAGAACGAACCAGATCCATGCGGTGAGGTAGATCACCAACATAGAAATTTTGTGAGCGCTTTGGGTCATTTAAAAAATCACAAAATGATGTATGGTAGGGGGAAATCGTTTTCCTGTCTTGTTCCTCCTGTTGAAGGCCTCGTAAGAATAAGCGTGAATCTCCATTTTCCAGCCCAAGCAGTTCATCAAGAAAACGAGGAAACAAATCAAAGTTTGCAAGAGCACATAACATTGGAATTAGCTGAGGCCGCTTGGAAATGGGGGCAGTCGAGAGGATGTTGATGTAAAGCTGGTCGAGTGCCTTAAATGCTGAATCCGATCCGGTTTGGTCCTTCGTAACAATAGCTAGACGCTCCGTTGGGCGGTAGTTTTTGTCATCAATGAATTTTATGATGGTGGACGCGTAGATGAAATAGCCCGATGACTTCCATACAAGGTTATCCAGAACATCAGGCAGTGGCCAGGGGAGGGAGACAGTGGACATGGTTTGACGATGTTCATGATGGATTCGCTTGAATTCATCAAGAAGATATGTTCGGACATCATCAAACGACTACTCTACATTAAATGGCCGGTAGATACCATGATAGACCGATGATTCAAACATCTCGCGAATATGGGCTTCCGGTCTGCTGGCAATGATGAATCGAAGAGGGAGGAAACGTTCTGTGAAGGAGCTTCTGATTGCACGCAATATCTCCAGATGCACAACTTGACCCTCACACTCATCCAGACCATCGATGAGTATCGTTAGAGGGGTTTGATTGGAGTGCCTGCGACAAGGCTCAGAAATTAGCTTTTGCAGCTGAATCTCAATGGACCTTGCGAGAACAGATGAATTGTGTTCCACCACTTTAGTGATCGGAACTTTCAGCCAGGAAACGTCAAGTGCAAGCTGATATGCAATGGTTACAAACAAGGCTTTTGCATTTCCGCGCGTAGGATGTGCCCGTTTGAAAAAGAAACAACCTCCGAGCCGGCCTGTACTCTGCAGTTGGTGAGAAAGGTTTCGCATAATAGCGGACTTCCCTGAGCCTGCGGGTCCGAACAACCACAGAATGCTACTAGTAGGGTCTGTCTCCAGTGACCAGTCCTGCAGATCTTTGAGCATTTTTGTGCGTGTTTCGGGATGACATCTTGGCTGGGGGAAGCTATCCGCTGAGTCGTGAAGGGCTTCCAACGCTGCTACATTATATAGTTTATCGATTCCTAGACTACAGTTTTAACAAGGAATCTCTGAGCGTTCAACATACTTACCTTTTTCGCCTGGGCGAGTATGGCTCACAAACGTACCACCATTGATGGTTGTTGTTGGTTGGGTGTACTCATGGGACAGATATATACCTGAGCACTCTGAATACTCTTCTGAGAATCGATTAGAAAATTCAGTTCCTCTTCGGGGTGGCTCAAGATGAGTCGGGGGAACTGATACAGCGTGATCCAGCGTGTGAAAATCAGGGTCCTGAGTTAGGGTACAGCGAAACCGTAGTCTCAGAAGGCTGGGATTCCGGTAAAAATTCTAAGGATGTATAGTCGAATGTCGTAGACCACGACTTTGTGGTTGGTGAAGCGATTAAGGTACCTGACGTTGACGAGGTTTCTGCGTGCTCCTCGCGACGTGAAGAGGCACGCGCGTTCGAATTCGATTGACCCCACGGACGCGTGGAAGCATCTAGAATCACATGAGTATATTCATGGTAAACAGAAAATGAAAATTGTACTATATGTACCGAACACTTTCTGGATTACTTCTTCGAACTCCTGATAGAGAAGAACCAGTCCAACTTGCATCCTCTACTGGCCGCTCCATAATCATATCACCACCCACACCGTAGAAGTTGCCTCCGTTCACCTGGAAGTCAGAGCTGCGTTCAAACAAGGACATCGATTGAAAGCGGAAGAAGGACGGACGTCGGGAACAATGGCAACGAAGACTCCGAGTCGTGGGCGCTTCTATCCATTCCGACATTCCTATTATACATAGCACAGTACTACAGCTTTGATACAGCTTATTCCTGTAGCGGAATACAACTTCAAGCTTGATCAAGCTTCATGAGCTACCTCACGTTTGGTTGGAGGCTCATCGATGTAGGACATAGCTTGTCTGTGTCTGTCGGACTCGCTGGGCAAGCATTCAGATTCATTCGGAGTCTGGCCCCATGCCCACAGTATCTGCGTATAGATCGTCAGTGTATAGTAAGTAGGCTATGTGTCCAACACTGAAACCTAACAATAACCATTTTGAAAATTGAATACGACTCATTAAGCGGAGAAGGATTGGTAGTGGTAGTGGTAGTAGTAGAGAAGGATTGTATGATTGAGCGCCGCCTTCTACTCAGGCTACTCTCGGCATTCATTCCAAAGACACTTGAGCTGGTGAAATTCCACGACACCACAAGCGCAAAGAAGAACAAAACCCAACAAGGGATCGTAGTTCCTGATATACCAATATATAATATAGTGGTTTTGAGTTCAGTATCTCCGTCCTTGTCTTTATAATTATCGAACGCTCGAAAGGCAGTTAGGGCAGCTGTGGTAATGTGGAATGCTGGATAGAAATCGGATGGGATGAGTATATGTCGAAAGAAAGCGGCCCGGAATGCTTTAACTGCAACTACGAGCAGACATTTTCGCGCTCTTTGTCGCAACTGCAACTTAGAATGGCATTTTGCTGATTAATGGTATCCAAATGCTCAAGCTTACAACAAGAATCCGAAATTCTTGTCTGTCTCGGGGGTTTCATGCTACTCGAGCCTTGGAAATTCAAACTTTCAAGCCCCGTCCTCCCGTCGTCCAACCAACAGCTTTCAGATACAAGGAGGAAAAAACTGTGCAGGAAAAAGCAAAAGCTCAAAAGGAAAGTAACAAACATGGTGAGTCTTTTAGTACCCCATATCTCTTTCGTATTTTCCGATTTTCTTACGGTCGAAAAACAGCCAAAAGAAACGCGGCAGGTGTCCAGATGCTGTCCCGTTCTTTGCATGAACAAATATTCAGAAACTGCACGTTCCCTTCCCCTCCCAACACGTATACCAATATCTCCCTCGATCACCTCTCAATGCATGGTTTGGATCCCACTCAATCATCGACATTACCTTCTACAGAGTTTGTTCTGCCTTCACTGCAGGGAAACAACTTGCTTGAACACTTCCATCGTATTGGAGTATCTTCTTCAGAACCGTACATATCATTTGCGCGGGATTTTGCCCAGGCAGAACTGCCTCCTATCCCTGATGACTGGCAGCTCCAGCCAGGATGGACCAAATATCACCATAGTGCGGACGGCTCTGGATACTGCGAGCCCATACCTTTTCCAGCGCACGACGGTAAAACAGAGTCTTTACTCACATTCGATGTCGAAACCATGCCAAAGTACCATCAATATCCCATCTTAGCATGCGCAGCTTCGCCCAATGCTTGGTATGTTTGGATATCTCCATGGATTCTCGATCCTTCATCC